AAAGGAACATCAGGACTCTAAGCGTGGATTTGCAGATATATATTTTTTAAAGGATTATCAGGACTCTAAGCGTGGATTTTAGATATATATTTTTTAAAAGGAACATCAGGACTCTAAGCGTGGATTTTTAGATGTATATATTTTTTAAAGGGATATCAGAACTCTAAGGGTGTATTTTTAGATATATATTTTTTTAAAGGAACATCAGGACTCTAAGCGTGGATTTTTAGATATATATTTTTTTAAATGAACATCAGGACTCTAAGCGTGGATTTTTAGATATATATATTTTTTAATGAACATCAGGACTCTAAGCGTGGATTTTTAGATATATATTTTCAAAACCACATCATATATTTATATATTTTTTCGAAAGGGCCATTAGAAATCGAAGCAGAGATTTTTAAATACTCTAAGCGTGTGTTTTAATTATCAAGGGACCATCAGGACTCTAAGCGAAGATTTTTTAGTACTCTAAGTGTGGGTTTGTAAATATATTTTTAAAAGGACCATTTACTTGCTGAAAACAGACTCTAACCGCGAAATATTAATGGACTATTCGACTTCTAAGCGGGGAGTTTAAATATGTTATTCTAAGGACTCTCAGATCTATAATCGTGATTCTTAAATGGACTCTTAGAGGACTAAGAGTCTACGGTGGCTTTTTTAAATTGAATAAGTCGAATAGTCCATTAAAAACCCGCGGTAGCCTAGACCAGATCTATAATCGTTAATGGGCTCCTAAACCTCTATTAGTGGAATGAATGAACTATCAAGGCGTGCGCGTGTTTTAAATATGCAGACCTCTACGCATAGATTTTTTATTTGAATCTTAAAGCTCTATGCTGGTGGTTTTAATGGATTATCCGAACTCTAAAGTTATCATTCCCAGCAAAGGTTATTCTGAGCCCCATTTTCATATCATCGAGGTTTCATATCCGATCGATGGTATTAAAGTGCATAGACGAATTCTCGCTCGGCATCAGAACATTACATAATGGATGCCACACAACTTTATACCATTAGCTTTGAAAAAACAAACTTTGCAAATCGCATTTATTTACCACCCCGAACACCTTTCACTCTCCCACGTGATTGATGCCAGTCACAACGTTTAACCACCAAAATCAAATTTTAAATAACTCAACAGCAGCAGAGCAAATAACTCTTCAAGCTATTGTCGTCAACCTTCAGCTGAAATCACGGCAAAAATAAACTCATGGCTATTTAAAATTCAAAATCGTGTCAAAAGCTATGACACTTTGGAGCAACTGAAATGGTAACCAAAACGAAATGCCATTAACGTGCAAACATCACTTGTTGTTGTTGTTGGCGATGTTGTTGTAGTTATCGTGGTCGTTGTCGGAAAGCACCATAGAAGCTTATCAAATAGTACGGGTATGCCAAGGACAATTTTGTCGGTGGTTGTATGTCGTTTTGTGTGTGTGTGAAAACGAAATCAATGAATAACTATGTAGAACTATGACTCCAGCAACAACAACAACACCGACGACGACGATTCAACTATACAAAAACATTTTGACAAGCTTAGTGACTTAACTACCACTAACTATGCAAGTGAGTGAGGAGTCAGTGAGTGACTGGATGTTTGACTACTGAATGGTTAGCTTGTTTAGTTGGTAGTTAGGTTCTATGCTTGACTACCTTCGACTCGATGTGAAGTGACAAAATGCCATAACAGGCCATCAACAACGATAAAAGGACACATTGCTGCTGTTGGTGATGTTCGCGTGGAAAAAAATGAATAGGGAATAGTGAAACAGGAATCGCCTCAGTGAAGGTGTATATGGAAAGGAAATCTGTAAATAAGTGTGAGACCAATTTGACAAACAGTGAAGTTTTCGGTTAATGGGAAATGGTCATACGCCATTTCATCGTATTGGCTTATTATATAGTTATTTAGATGCTACACACCATAGATACAATTCTGACGGTGGCGAAATAAAGTTTCTGAATTGGTCAAAATCCATATAATATATATTTCAGAAGACCCTTTGAAGGACCTTTGAAAAAATATTCTTAAAAAAATCCTCGTCTATGGATGGTCTATGAAACAATATTAATTAAAATTGTTAAAAAAATTAAAGAATCTCGCCTTAGGAGGCGAACAAATTTTATTTAAAAATTCACGCCGTACGTGGTCCTTGAAAAAATGTTCCTTAAAAAGTTCACGCCTTACGTGGTTCCCGAAAAAAAATATTCTTTAAAAATTCACGCCGTATAGTGATTTTTATGAACCATTTACAATAAGTCGGACGAAAATATATATGGGAGCTATATCTAAACCTGAACCGATTTTCACGAAAATTAACACACATCATTCTAAACTAAATCCAGTTCGCTATGCCAAATTTCGTCCAAATCGAAAGATATAGAGCGACTTTATTACACAATTTAACATGGACAGACAGATGGACAGGCGGACATATTCTCAAAAGGAACCATATGTCTTTCTCGTTTATCGAAAAGTTCTTCTTTTGCTTTTATCTATAACATCTCTTCTGGAAGTGTTGTCAAGTCACAAAATATTCTGAAGGTGTCTTAAGGATTTTCAGTCAAGACCTCCTGACGGTATTCTGTACACAGTAGATCGCCATCGGTATTTCTATACTTGTGAACCAAAACCTGTAATGGGTGTTCTACCACCTATAGAACACCGTGGTGGGTTCTGTTCATTGAAATTATTTTGAGGTCATTCCACATATGGAATACCTTTTTATGATATACCAAACTACACACCTTGAGGGCTTTAAATCTGTGGTAGTTTTCTTGAGTATGATTTTCTATCAACAGAAGACTTTATAAACATATAAAGGTTGATCTAATATGGTAAACAATCTACAGAAGACTTATTGCGTGTATTCCATTTTAAGAACGACCCAAGCTTAGGAGATTTTATTTCTCGAATAGGTCTTTAGTAACTCGTATCTATGGAAACCTACCCTCTTTAGGAACTTTGAAGTGCTTTTGAGGTTCTTCTCTATGCGGTACAAATCAGATCATAAAGACGACTTCTTAAGGACATTTTGTCAATAACCTGTTGAAGATATTCTGCGCATATTTGAGAGAGAGAGAGAGAGAGATTTCTTCTGAGAGATAGAACAGCTTGATGGTATTCTACTGATAATAAAAAAAAACTTTTTGAGATTTTATAGATGATCGACCTCGTAGTGGTCTGATGGTGTTATATCTGTAGATGATCTCTTGATTGTCATCTTTTACCTACAGAAAACTTTATATGAATGTAAAGACCCTGTCATTTTGGATCATCTTAAGGAAACCACCTAATCCCGTTAATAAGCATGTCAGTAAAGGCACCTTAACTTTCACCCATTTATATAGAATATTTTTCTCCCTCAGAGCTTCTTTAATTCGTCTGTAAAAAGTCTTTCCTTCTCCATTCTATAAAGACTTTCTAAAGTTCGTATATAAAGACTCTGCCAAGCTATTAAATTGAACAGCCCTCGTATGTCCACCCTTTTCCTTGTCAATGGCGTAACAACTTGGGCAACAAATGCTTCCATTCAAATGTATTCGCATTTGCATAAAACATCAAATATTTCTACATGAAAAAAATACAGACTCCTAAAACCTGATCTCAACACCCACCCACATCATTGAAAAGACTTAACGAAGACATTTTTGCCAAACAAGATGAGATACGCAAACGCATCGATGACAGATATATTTTATCGTTTATCATTTTTTCTTCCTCCCAACCATGGCATAACAATATCGACAACTTCATACCGAATGGACAAACATGCAATAGATTCCCTATATCCTGTGTACCGATTGATTGAGAGTTAGAGTAGGTAACAAAAAAAAAACGTCCACAATGTTGTAGATGTTTTAGGCTCAACTGGAACAGAGAGGCAGAGAGAGAGAGAGAGAGAGAGAGAGAGAGAAATTGCCAATTGTTGGCAGTTTGTCACAATGACACAAGATGACAACATGATTAATGACAACCAACGGGATGGCTGGTTGTAGTCCAGTGAAATCCATGTTGTGGTCGGAAGAAAGGCACAACATACACGCAGCATAACAAAAAATGGGAAGGGATTTTTAACAGTTTTGTCCAACAAATGTTGGAACTGATTTGTTTTTTTTTTATGGATGTGTATGGATGAGTGTGTGTGTCTGTGCAAATGCATTTGAAGGTTGCTCCTTGGTTTGTTTTTTTTCTGATGATTTGACAACAATGTCCGACACCTAAAGGATGTCTCTCATGCGACATGGATGGGTTCGGTGGGTTTTTTGCCAATTGAACATATACCAAGTGTCAATAAAATTGACAGATCGTTTGCGTCAAACACATAACAAAGTATTGTTGATGAAATGATTGAGACCTCCAACAATAATGGGAAATGTGTTTCCACATTTTGGTGGATGAGGTAATTTATAATAAAAAAATACATATATATATATATATATACATATATATAAATAGGTCTGACATATCCCAAAAAGGTCTTCACTTAAATCAAACTTATTCGTTTCGTCCATATATTTTATAGGGAGTCTTCATAGACAAGACGAAGAGAGAGGAGAAGATGAGTCGCGGATAGTCTTCATAGGCAAGCCCGAAAGAGTCTTTATAAACGAGGGTGTATAGCCTTCATAAATTAGCACGACGGAGTCTTTATAGACGAACCGGAGGGATTATTTATAGAGGGACCGGAAATACCTAAATGGTTAATTTATAGATAAGTTGGAGCCAGTATTTTTAGACAAGGCGGAGTAAGTCTTTAGAGACGACCTAAGGGGAATTTTTATAGACAAGTCTGTGAGAGTCTGAGGCAGCCGGAAAATACACCATAATAATTTACTTTAAAAATATTATTTTTAGATGATCAAGTCATCTTCGATTTTATATTTTTCGTTTTTCGTCAATTTAGTCTTGACTTTCAGGGCCATAAGGGGTCCATGCCTTGAGGTCAAATTTAATATTAAAAATTTTTTAATAGAAGTTAACTTACTTGCCAGAGTAGCGTCATAATAAAAGTTAGTGTTCTTACCTGTAAGGAAAAGAAAAAAAGATAAAAATCAAAATTAGTATCAATCTACTTCAAAATGTATATACTATAGTCGAATATCGTGGGAGGGATTTCTTTTTATATTCTTCACCACACTGTGGCACAGGGTATTATGTTTTTGTGCATATGTTTGTGACAGGCAAATGGAAACGAGATAGACACATGGATGGGTTGGGAACATACATAAAATCACTTTCTGAGTCGATTATGCATGTCCGTCCGTCTGTCCATAAACAAAAAAGGACAGGTCGCATTTATGATCCGAATTGGATGACATTTGGCACAGCTTATTTATTTGGCTTAGGCCAAACGATCTATATTGAAATTGGGAAAAATCGGTTCAGATATAGATATAGCTCCCATATATATATATATATATATATATTCGTTGGATTTTATGTAAATGGTGTACCAAAGCCCCTGTATATCCATCGATTTGCACGAAATTTGGCATAGCGTACTGAATTAAGCACAGAATGATGTGTGTTAAGTTGCGTGAAAATCCGTTCAGATTTAGATATAGTTCCCATATATGTTTTCGTCCGATTTAATGTAAATGGTGTACCAAACCCCCTATATATCTTTCGATTTGCACGAAATTTTGCATAGCGTACTGAATTAAGTTTACAATGATGTGTGTTAAGTTTCGTGAAAATCGGTTCGGATTTAGATATAGCCCCAATATATGCTTTCGTCCGATTTAATGTAAATGGTGTACCAAAGCCCCTGTATATCCTTCGATTTGCACGAAATTTGGCACAGCGTACTGAATTAAGTCTAGAATGATGTGTGTTAAGTTTCGTGAAAATCGCTTCAGATTTAGATATAGCTCCCATGTATATTTTAGTCCGATTTTATGTAAATGGTGTACCAAAGCCCCTAAATATTTTTCGATTTGCACGAAATTTAGCATAGCCAACTGAATTAAGCCTAGAATGATGTGTGTTAAGTTTCGTAAAAATTGGTTCAAATTTAGATATAGCTCACATGTCTATTTTCGTCCGATTTTATATAAATGGTGTACCAAAGTCCCTATATATCTTATTGGTTCAGATTTAAATATAGCTCCCATGTCTATTTTCGTCCGATTTTATGTAAATGGTGTGTGTGTGAAGTTTCATGGAAATCGGTCAGATTTAGATACAGCTCCTATATATATTTTCCTCCGATTTTAAGTAAATGATGCTCCAAGGACACAAAATATTGCCGATATGCACAAAACGTGCTGAAATTAGTATAATCGGTTTAGATATAGTTTAAATTATTAGTATTATCCGATTTTAAGTAAATTGTGCCCCAAACTCCTCATTTTTGTCGATGTGGTGAAGGGTATCATTTAGTCGGCCTCGTGCGACCTTACTATAAAAAAAAGAATTTGTATCATAAAACAAAAAAGAAAATGTATAATTTTCGTTATTTATAAAAATTATGTATTCAGCTCGTCTATAGAAGACTGCCTGCCCTTTAGATCTTCTATAGAAGATTCCCTGCGCTTTATCTTGTCTATGGAAGAATCCCTGCTTCACATCGTGCATGGAGACTCCATCGTCTATGAAAAATCTCTTCAGTTCTTCTATAGAAAATTTCCTGCCCTTCAGCTCGGCTCCCTTCAGTCATCTATAGATGAACTGCCCTTCAACTCGCCTATAGAAGACTCCCTGCCTTTCAGCTGGTTTTTAGAATACTTCGTGCCCTTCAGTTCGCGTATTAAAGTCTACTAGACCTTCAGCTCGTCTATAAAAGTCTATCAGCCCCTTAAGCTCGTTTTTTGGAATATTCTCTGCCTTCAGTTCGTCTATAAAAGACTCACTACCAGAGATGGTCCGTCAGAAACTGTGACGTAAATGACATACATTTCCGACGTATAATACATACGTCAGAAACGTCGGAAACCTACACAAAATCATTAGGTTTTTGACAAATGGCTATTTCCATTAATCAATTTGGAAATAACGTACGGTTTACTCAAATCCAAATAAATTTTCAAATTGTTTTTCTCCAAAAAGTTTAGAATTTTTTATCAGTTCTAATAAGGAATGTGTAAAAATAATATATATTCATAAAAATAAATGTATTTGGTAATAATATTCAAATAAATGACGTTTACAACATTTACTACATTTCATACAGGTATATGACGTTTTCGACGTTCACACCTTTTTGACGTCACACGGACCATCCCTGCTCACTACCCGTCTGCTCGTCTTCAGTTCGCCTTTAGATGCCTATCAACCCTTCAGCTCTCCTATAGAAACTCTCTGCCATTCATATTGCCTACGGAAGACTCCCTACATTCACTTCGTCTATAGAAGACTCTTTGCCAGTCAGTTCGTCTACAGAAGTCTCCCTGTCCCTACCCTGTCACGTCTACAAAAGGCACCTTACCCTACAGCATGTCTACAGAAGACTCCCTGCCTTTTAAAACGTATATAGAAGACTCTCTTCTTCAGCTCGTACATAGAGATTCTCCTATGTTCCATGCAGCCGTTCGTCTATAGATGACTGGCTTCAGCTCGTTCATAAAAGTCTGACTTCAGCTCATCTACAAAAGACTTTTTTTAGATCGTCTATAGAGACTGCCTTCACCTCATCTGTGGAGACTCCTCTTAGCTCTTCTATAAAAACTTCTTTCAGTTCGTTTATAGATAATGCTCCCTCCTCTCATCTAAAAATACCCCTACCATTTAGTCTACTAATTCAGCCTCTTTATCCCTGTCACATGAAATCTTACGCACGATTTCTCTTTTTTCTCCCTTTTTTATGATCGTTCCTTTTTTGCAGAAAGTGTTTATGTTTTTTTTTTCTTTCTTCTGTTCACTTTGAGCGCCGCCACAATATCCCGAATAGCTATGATGGTATGCTGGGTGCTTGGGCGTATTGTCTTGTCTTGTGCGTATCGTTGCTGTTCGTTTGGTCATAGCGTGACAAATTATTTATGATCACGACAAACAATGTGAATGTAGTTCTCTCGTTTGAACAACATAATAAAGTATCTCCAATCACCTTGTCCGATGCACAGAAAAAAAGCAGCAACAACAACAAAAAATATACACACAAATGTGCGAACAATTTGGGGCTGTCAAGCATATGGTGAATTTTGGGGCTAAATACACTGAGAGAAATTTTATGTGAAATATTTATTTGATCGATATCAATGGGGAAAATGGGGTTTCAAGGTTTTTGACGAACACAGTTTTTTTTTTCAGATCCTGTGCTTTTATAAAACGCTGGTTTTTAGTTCTGATAAATAAATTTTATATTAAGAAATATTATGACAAATATTTTATATTTTTAATCGATTATAAATTTAGAACAAAAAAATGATATTGCTACAATGTTTATTTTGTGCGCCTTAAGTCCCTATCAAAGTCCAATTTTGTATTAAGCCACAACAACAATAACAACATTGTGTAAAAAAATTGCGGTTTTGTGGTTTCTAGATTCTGAATAAAGAACACCCAGTGAAGTGAGTATAAATAAAAAATATATTTCCAATCCTGAAGTGTGAATTTAAACACTTGATGATAATTTAAAAATTACACATAGAATGTTTGTCATTCTGAAGTGGGATTATAGGGGTGGGGGGTTTCCTGTAAAAAATATGAAAATAAATACAAATGGATGGGTGGGAATCTAACAGGGAGTCCTTCTAGATGTTGCGGAGGATGTCTACATGAGGTATAGGGAATATTTTTACTTGAGATTCAGGGTGTTTTTAATGGAGTGAGATTTATGCCTTTCATGTTGGCTATAGACGATTCCTTGCTTTTCAGATTGGTATATAGAAGACTCAACGCCATTCAACTCGTCTTTAAAAGACACCCGCCACAGTTTGTGTATAGACGAACCCCCCTCAGTTCGTCTATACATCCAGTGCTTCCGTTTACTTCTTTCTGCTCTTCAGACTGCCCTCGGATTGTCTATAAAAGACTATAGCTCCTCTATTCTATATCTCTCCACCGAGTCTATAAAATACACCATTTATCCCAACTATTAAAGTTCGTCTAATAGCTTAGACTTAGTTCAGGTCCTTTATAAGTTTCTAATCGTCTGTAGAAATTATCTGAAGCAGTGTGTCTGTTAGGCGAGCGGGTAGGAACTTTAAACATGAGTTGAAGGATATCTTTATAGACGAGTCCTTCTTTAGACAAACTGACGGACAGGCGAGCTTAAGGGCAGTGAGTCTTCTATAGAAGAGCTAAAGGGCAGAGAGTCTTCTATAGCCGATCTAAACAGCAAGGCGTCTTTCCGAGGAGAGCTGAGAGGCAGAGAGTCTTTATAGCTAAAACTTGGTGTTTTCTATACGTGAGCTGACTCTGGTAGTCTCTACTGACCAGCTTCCTTCCTTATGGAGATATGTTATAGATGAACTAAAGCACATGGGGTAATTTTTAGGTACCCGGAAAAACGAAGACTTTATAGACAAGCTGAAGGCCTCCAGATCGACCCAATGAGGACTGATGAAGCGGAGGGATAGAATCTTAATAGAACTGAATAGAGGGTGTCTACATTTCCCATCAATGGTCTCATTCAATCTAACCTCTACAAAATGGACTATATCGCCTAGACCAGTTGAAGCACCACAAAATAACTACAATAAAACCACTATTCATGAAGGAAGGACACGAGGTCAGTATAGGTGACCTGACTTATAGACTTCCTTATTGAGATCTGCTATAGAGGAGCTGAAGCACATGCGGTATTTTTAGGTACACGGAAGGACAAATTCTTTATAGACAAGCTGAAAGCCGAGTACATTGTGTCCTCAAGCCAGCTCGACCCAATAAGGACTGATGATTTGGAGGGACAGAATCTTAATAGAGCTGAATACAGGCTGTCGTCTGTAGACAAACGGAAATCCAGTCGATCTGAAGGGCATTATTAGTCTTTATAGATAAGTTAAAACCATCGAAACCATTTTCTGAAAATCTTAATTACACTTCCCATCCCTGGTCTCTTTCAATCTAACCTCTACAAAATGTACCATATCGCCTAGACCACTTGAAGCACCACAAAATAGCAACAACAGCACCACTATTCATGTCACTGTCTCTATAGGAAAAACTCTAACCATGGCCAGTGACAGCGGGCAACAAATAATGTCATTATAAACGAAAAATGAGAGTGAGACGACAGGGCGCCCGCCAGAAAAAAAAAACGCTGTGACAAATTTATTATAATATTGACATGTGACATGAGTAGGGTTGCGTTTTGTCCGTTTTGGCAATTTTTTTTTAAATATTTCATATTTTTTGTTCTGCTTTGGCATTTCGCAGCATTACTTTACGTTTCTATTGTTGTTGTTGTCTCTTGACGCCTCACAAAATATTTCAACAATTTATCATTTGACCATAAATTCGCTGAGAATGTTGTCAGGCTGTTAATGTTCAGATTGCTGTTGTTGTTATTGTTGTAGATGAATTGTTGTCCATGTCAGTTTGTTGTTCTATGGAAGTGTGCCCTCCACATAGTTAACATATACGAGTAGATATTTGTCTTTTATTTATTTATATTTTCAAATCTCCTGTCAAGTGGGTGACAGGTAAAAAGTAAACAGCATACGACGATACTTGTTCGGTTCTCTTCTGAGTGAAGGGGAGGAGGACGAGATGGTGTTGGAGGAGATAGGTGGTATTTGTTGAAACCTAATTGAATACCAGCAACTGTGTGGAATGCTGCTGAATGTTGGAAGCATTATGTCAATACTTTTATTTCTTTTTAATGTGACATTTATGTTGATGTTTATTTTTATTTTCTGTTTCTTACAGTTTTTAGTTTCAATTAAAATGTCACAAGGGAATTTTATTCAATTTTCTTGGAAAATAAGATGGCGAGATTTTAGTTTACTGTATTTGGGGAGTCTTCTATAGATGGGTTAGAGGGTACGGAATCTTTATAAGGGAGCTGAAGGGAAAATGGTATTCTTTAGACAAGCTGAAGTTCAGGGAGTCTTCTGAAGGACTGTGAATCTTCCGTAGACTAGTTTAAGACCAGTGAGTCGAGCTGAAGGGCAGGGAATCTTCTAGAAGACGACCTGAAGGGGAAATGGTAATCTATAGACGAGTTGAAGGACAGTTCAAGGCAAGTGATTCTTCTATTGACGAGCTAAGTGCAGGGAATCGTCTATATTTGACCTGATGGGCAAACGGTATGCTATAGCCGAATACCTGAATGACAGGGAGTATCTATATATGAACTGTAGGATAGTGAATCTTCTCTTATATATATGAGCTAAAGTGCGGGGAGTCTTCTGTAGACGAGCTTAAGGGCAGGGAGTCTTTTATATGCGATCCGAAGTGTAAGAAAGTTGTCTTTAGACGAGTTGAAGTCTTCTATATACGATCTGAACTAGAGAGTATTTTATAGATCTGAAGTAGATAGTCCCTATAGAAGACTGAGGGATGGAAATCTGTTATGGACGAACTGAAGGGCAGGCATTCTTCTATAGACGAGCTGAAGGACAGGGAGTCCTTCATAGATGAGCTGAATGACAAAGAACCTTCTATTGGCGAGCTGATGGACAGGGAGTCTTCTACAGAAGAGCTGAGGGGCAGGGAGACTTCTATAGACGAGCTAAAGGGCAGGGAGTCTTCTATAGACGAGTTGAAGGGCAGGGAGTCTTCTATAGACGAGTTGAAGGGCAGGGAGTCTTTTGTAGAAGAGCTGAAGGGCAGGGAGTCTTCTGTAGAAAATCTGAAGGACAGCGGAAAAGCAGGAAGTCTATACAGAACAGCCGAAAGGCAGTGAGTATTCTATAAACGAGGTGAAGAGCAGGGTGTCTTCTATAGACGAGCTGAAGAGCAGGGAGTCTTTATAGACGAGCTGATGGCCAAGATGTGGCCTATAGGTGAGCTGAAGAGCAGGGAGTTTTCTATAGACAACCTTAAGGGCAGGAAGTCTTCTACAGGCCGTCTGAGGGCAGAAAGTCCACTACAGAAGTGAAGGCAAGCAGTCTTCTTTACATGAACTGAAGAGCAGGAAGCTAATTGTAGGGCAGGGAGTCTCTTGTAGACGCTCTGCTCCATTGAAGAGATGAAAGGTGGGGTGTCCTCTGGCAACAATCTTCTATGGAAGTAGTGATGTTAATGGAGAGCAGTACAGAAAAGTCTATATAATAAAATATGTCCTGGTACAGGGCTTGTATAAATTATGGGATATCTGAAGGGGGGTTATTTGAGGGAGATTTTTTTTTGACTACAAAACGGTAGGACTTTTATTCATAGAACTCCCATTTAAGTGGTCTGATAAGAAAACTTTTATGGATCTTCCGATGGTGGGATGCGTCCTACCATATAAGGGATACTGTATCCAGGAATTCTGTTGCTAGAAGGATTGAAGAATCGTTTATATTATGGCAGATAGATTTTCTGGAGATTTTGGCTATGTAAACGGAGTGGTGTGGTTCTGAGAACAGGCTAAATGAACTGGAAGGAATCCGGAAATTTATAGGTATACTGATGATAGAAGTTCTATTAGATGAGGTATTCTACTAATTTGACTTCTATTGATATTAGGATCTTCTGTGGGTCCTCTTCTGTGGGAACGAGACTATAGTGCTATAGTTTTCAATATAAAACCTTAGTGGCCCTACCGATAGGGAATCAATTCGGGTTCGGAATCTTATTAAATTTGTATTACTATCTATCACATAAAAACCCGAAATTTTATAATTATTCTTATGAAATGAAAAAAGGCATTCACATTAAAATTTACCTCGACCCAATATTTGTGCGGCATAGAGAATATCACGAAAATGATGCGCCTGCTGGTGTAACAACGAAAAGGATTCAGCCAAATTAGCCGCCATAGCTGCGGCACCTAGACCACCCACCAGGGGTGGTAATGTTGTGGCGGCAGCAGCAGGTGGTGGTGGTAATGCCGGGGTTGGCTGCTGCTGTTGTTGGGATGCCGGCGGTGCTGCCGTTGCTGATAATGCGCTTGGTGCTGTTGGCAATGCCAGCGGCTGTATGGCTGGTGGCGCCAATGCCAAAAGTGAGGCTGTCGCTGCGGCAACTGATGCTGCTGACGATGAGGAGGATGTGGATGATGATGACGGCGCTGGGGGAATATTACTGCTAGGCATTAGGCCAAGTGTTGACTGTGGTGGTTGAGGTTGTGGTTGGGCTGGTATGGTGACACGTGATGTTGTCAAACCACCGCTAACGGCAGTTGCATTGGAGGGTAGAAGGCTTCGACTAGTTTTCGGCGATGCCATTGTGGGCGAAGACAGTGAGGCCATGTGATGATGATGTTGCAGCAATTGCTGCTGATACAAAGGGGAGGTGGTGGCGGTGGTTAAAAGATGTGGAGTTGGCGTTTGTTGTTGGTGTTGTTGTTGCAATAACTGATAATGATGCACCTGATTATGATGGTGTTGGGGTTCTGTCGGAGACATTGCCAAACCCGAATCGGATGACACAGTTTCACAAATACTGCTTGTTGTACTGCCAACACTCGAACACCGTTGGGGATTTTGCAGCGAGGGCTGTAACAAATGTTGACACAATGCAGGGCTGGGTATTACCGTGGTTAACGGTAATGTTGGTAGTACACCTGTTGGTGTTGCTGTTGTTGTTGTTGTTGTTACTATTGTGGTTGCAGGTATTGTGTTACTGGGCGCTGTTGTTGTCGTTGCGGTACGCATTGATTTTATCATATCGGTGGTGTTGATGGCCAATGAGGTGCAAGCTTCATCGACTACCATCAAACCATTTGCTGGACTGGACTTTGGTATATTTTTCAGGGATTTCATTGCAGGGTTGTCTAATGGAACTGGCGTTGTTGTTAATAATAATTTATTGTTAATTGTTTTTGGTTGACAATGTTCGCAGTTTGGCATATTTCGCAAAAATGGGTTGGGGTTGGTGGGGGGAATGCTTGCGAATTCTGCCAATAACAAGAATAACGAAATTTCTTTTCTTGAGCACCGACTGAAAACTCGTCCTGCTGTCGGTATTTTTCTCTATTGCTGTGGTTGTTGATTTAATGTTAACAATTTTAATGTTTGATTGAGTTTTGTTTTTGTATAATAAAATATAGATTTGTAATTGTTTTTGTTGTTGTTGATTTTTTGGTTTTATAACAAGGAAGTATTGTTTTAAGGCATCTTAGTTTAATAATGATTTTTATTTATTTTTTTATTAAAGTTTTTTGTTTTTTTATTGTTGTTTTTATATTTGGCCACAATATTTTGATTATTTTGTTGTTGTTGTTGTTGTTGTTTGTTGTATACTTGTTTTCACATATATGTTTGTTTTTGTCTTGTTCTTTGTTGCTGTAAATAATAAAATTTTAAATAAAAGTTGTTGACTGGCACTTTGCAGCCATAACGTTGACACATGAATTTACAATGGATTGAAATCGGTTTAAAGTATTCAGAACTATTTTTATTAAAATTTGACTTCGTATGACTTTTTTATACCCTACACAACTATGTTGTCAGGGTATTATAGCTTTGTGCAGCCCCAAGAGTTTAAGACGCCGTGAAATATTGATCTTATACCCACCATTAAGTATACCGATCGTCTTATCTCGATTAGCTGAGTCGATCTAGACACGTGTGTTCGTCCGTCCGGCTGTCTATTGTAATTTTTAAACACGATGGACCAATCTTCACGAAATTTTGCATGTAGGAAGGGTTTTGGCCAATGAAGACCCCTATTGTTTTTGGTAAAGATCGGTTCATATTTAAGTGATGGACCAAATATTTAATTTTTGTCGGTTTTTCTGGTCGCTCTAGAGGCCGCAAATATGACCCGAACATCGCGAAATTTTACATGGAGAAAAGGATTGCGCCAGAGAATATGCATGCCTGCTTTGATAATGATCTGTCATTATTTAGCGAGTCAAATGGACCCTGACTTTTGTGTGAAAAAGACAAAATTTGTATTCTATGGCGTATATATTTACTCGTGAAGCATATAGACCCGCGAAGTTGATAGTGTATCCAAGAGGAATGGTTGTCCTTCAAAATGACTCCAATTACGTTGCCGTATGTACTCGGATGTGGGAGTTACACACAAATATTTACAGGTGCTTACGTATTCAGATATTATTTAGTAAACCATTACCTCATTAGAGGGCGGAAATATAGCGATGATCCCCTTAAAATTTTCCATGAAGTTCCAATTATGGTCAAAGACAACGCCTATAATTTCAATGATGATCTGATTAAAATTTTGGTATGAAGTGGACCAAAATCTTAATTTTTTGTGTGTTTTCCAGTCGAATGTAGGCGAACATCTCAACACAACCCACCGTGAAGGGAATCGGAATTAAAATCCGAGTTTCGTGGTAGTTGTGTAGGGTATCGTATGGTCGGCCTCGTCCGACTATACTGCTCCGCTCACTGGTTTTAATTTAAAATAATAATTGATCATGCGTATGAGTAACGTCATTACGTATACGAACCAATGCACACGTATGAGTTACGTCATTACTGATACTTTACAAAATTAAATTATTTTACAAACGCAAATTTGGTGCTATAAGTAGGCTTTCAGAGTGTGGATTGTTTAATTTTGCAATATATGACCATAATTCCATGAAATAGAAAAGTTATCTTAGAAATTTGAGAAAAATGATTAGATTATTACTATTTCCGCCAATATTTAGAGAGGGTTTTAGTAGAGATGCCGGTGGTTCTGCCGCTGCTGATAATGTACTTGGTGTTGTTGGAAATGCCAGCGGCGGTATGGCTAGTGACGCCAATGCCAAAAGTGAGGCTGTCGCTGCTGATGAGGAGGGTGATGACGTATGAATAACGTCATTACTAATACGTCACAAAATTCAATTATTTTCAAAACGCAAATTTCGGGGCTACAAACAGTCTTTTGGACGTGGGTTTTTCAGTTTTGGACATATGATCAAAGAAATAGAATTTTTATTTTAAAATTTTGAGAAAAATTATTAAAAAGCTACTTGAGCCTATTCGGCCAATACTTTGGGAGGTTCGGTGAGTTACATAAAAAAATTGCTTCGTGTTGTCTACAGATGATATGATGCAGGAAGTCTTCTGTAGATGAATTGAAGCAGATAGTCCTCTATAGAAAAGCAGATGCATATTGCATGCACATTGCTTATATCTAAAACGTTGTGGGGGTCTTGAGGTGTTTATATGTGAATGTGATTTCATAGTTCGATTTTACATATTGTCTGATATAATGGAAATAAAGGCTTTCTTGACACTTTCTAAAGATAGGCTTCTTTTTAGGATCTCAGAAGACCGCTACTTGGGAAATGGATCCCAAATTTAATTATACATATTAAGAGGACATGGGGGTATTTGAAGTTTGCAATTACCTTTGTAATTCATCGAAATACTCAATCTTGTCGTATGAAACCCTATAAAGAATATATTTTGCTGATCATGTCTGTCTGTCTCTTGTAATAATACTATTTTCCGAAATACTGGAGATAAAGTGCAAATTTTGAATATACTTGTCCTTTGCTTGCAGGTAGATCGTGTTTGTGGATGGAATATATCGGCCCACGTCCACATATTTTTTCAACCGAATTTCTGCTATTTGGTATATTGGGCCTTTATTGGGTAGAAAATCTTCCCATCAGATTTTTTGGGAGTTTGGGTACATTTTCAAACAAATTGGCTGGATTTTAATCTTTTGGATTCCCTCTTAGTAAATCTTCCTATCAAAAGTAACTGCTCTCGCCATTATTGCCCTTAAAAGGAGGTAGATTGGTAATGACAATGGCGGGGGGGATAATATCCAGTTTAAGGTTTCAGCTAATCTTGAAGAAAATAACTATATCGAATTTGACTTTTTTAAGCGACAACACCGTTTCGAGGGGGCGTATGATTCATATCGCAACCCATACGCCATTATTAAATTTTCCTTTCTTTACGCAATATTATGAATGCCAGAGCGGATACGTGTTGACATAAATTATACGTCACATAGCATCCAGTTTAGAACACGGTTCAAAAAACTTGTAGTTAAAAAAGGTTTTGTTTCATTTTTTGCTGTTATTTTCAATGTCACGAAAAAAAAACAATGAATATTTCATGCAAGTGATGACTGGCATTTATCACATTTTATTTCACAAATTCACACATGGTCAATCCAAAAAAATAAATCTGAAAAAAAAACACCACAGACATAAAAACTCAAACCGACATTCAAAACGCCAACCAAAGGTTATTTGATTGTCCGAACATATCTCTTAGTTCCTCTCGAGTTTTTTCGGCTTTTTATTTTGGTTAAGGTGAGAGGAAAGTTGAATGCACAAATATTTCCTAATCCAAGATTTTTTACGGTTGGGTGTTTTTGTTAAGCTTTTTTCTGTTGCTGGCTGTTATCAAGGAAACACCAGTTAACAAAAATGTTGAAATAAAAATCCACAAAACTGTTGTAAACAATGGGGAAATTTTGTTTTTACTAGTTTTGTTTTTTTTGTTATTCCAGCCTAAATGAAAGTTAGAAAAAATTCTGTCTGGGTTATTGTTGGTTTTCGTTTGTGTGGATGCATTGTTGGATTTTATTGTTGTTACAGATGTGTAGGTTTTTGAGAGTTATTTTTGTATGGAAATATTTGAAAGGAATACAGATGTGGTTAAAAAATGTCTAGTCTAATGCTTAATATTTATTAAAGAGGGGTTGTGTCAATTAAAAATTCGGGCGCAGTAAAAATATCTAAAATCGATCGGGACCATTAGAAATGTTTTATCAAATTTCCTAAGAAGTTTTGAACATCTGAGAGAACGAAATACCAAATTACAGACACATTGGTTGGAAAATTTCGTTTAGGGATCTTCAAATATCGCTAATGTTGTGGAACCTTTTTAGAACATTTTCTGGGAATAAGTTTTTTTAACCCCCATAAAATATCCGCTTGACACCAACGTCTCATACCTTATACCTATTTTTGTAATATATTCATATATTAAAATATAAAATTCTGACAAATTGTCACATACCTGTAGTATGTACATATACAACAATATAAATGCCATACATTTTTATTTACTCTCCAGGCCACAAATTCTATTTGCATAGTTTCATACGCTTTGATATTTTATTCAAAATAATATGTACGTATGCTTGTGTATTCGCTCAAATTCGCTTATTCACCACATGCGGTTCCAGAGAAAAAAGTAATCTTTTTCAAATAAAATATTTTGCTTTATTTGCAAATAAACCAAAAACAAAAGAGAAAGATTTGGGGGAGTGCAAGAGAGCATCTAAATGTAGCAACTGAACATCAGAATTGAAATATAAATAAAGTAAATGTTTCTTTTGGTTTTTGTTATTGCTGTTATTGTTATTTACTACAAAAATAGTTATGACATAAAATAAATAATAATAAAATCTGTTAACCTAACACATGTCGTACTAGTATTTCCTTTATTGCCATTGAGTTTGTTTTTGTGTTATTTTCTTACATATCACCAGTTGTACCACATGTGGTGCAGTCTTGAAATCTGAATGAATATGTAATTGAATGTTAAGTGTCGATTTAAATTCATTTGACAATTTATTTAGATTTTTTAGTATATGTTTCTTTTTTAATAAAGTGTATAAAGAGGAAACAAATAAAAACTTCCACCGGATCGAATTTAATACACCCTCAACCATGAGGTTAATATTCAAAATACCGAAAATCGATCTGGAGTTTTAAATGGATGCTATGCCTTGGCATTTGTAGGAAGATTTGACATGCAATGATCACCTTAAATATCAAATGAATGTGGAACTGAACAGACACTGATGTTAAGATTGATAAATTTTATAGGAT